GGTTTAGTCTATCGAGTGTTGATTGGATGGAGGTAGATCTGAATGCGAGCTTGCGGTCGATTGTAAGAAAGAGGCGGAGTTTAATCGGAAGAAATGATTGGGTAAGTCTGGCATACGTCACAAGAGAGACGTGTCATTTCATTGGAAGATCGAGTTCTGATATTTTAATCAATTACAACATCAAAAATGTAAAAAAAAATCAAATAAATAACATGCACACGCACAGATGAAGGTTTAAAATAACATGCATTTAGAAATGGATGTTTATAAGTGTTTTTTAATCAATTGTTATGCTTTTCATTTATTCGCTTCTTCAATTCAATGGAATTGTGCCTCATCGTAACCTTGATTTTGCGTTTTATTCTTGTTTTTGTAAACAAATGTTTTTAAATAATTCTTTGCTATTCAACATTATGCCACCAAATGCTGTCGACAGTGGTTAACCTGTGTTGAAGCCAGAATATTCCTTTAAGAACCGAGGAGATGAAATCTGCACTACCCGAAGCTCCTCTAAAGCCTTCTTAACACATACGCGCCCGGGGCTCGCAGTGCAGGGCGGTTTGTGTCGAACCCATCCCGTCAGGATCTCGTAGCGGCCGCTGACAGCTCCCTGCACGCATTAAGCATTAATACATCCAGCACTAACACATTATCACAGCACTGTCGGAGAGGCGGATCAGTGGAGGCTTCTCTTGCTGTCTCCACTTCCTCTCAATACTTTTATGTCGCATAGGTCCTATTATTTCTTACTTCATTCCTGCCTCTCTTTTCTCATTGTCTTGAACCTCTTCAGAGCAGGAGAAGAGCAGTTAATTGGCTGTGAGAGACATTTCCAGTTCATCAATGGGTAACTATAAGCTCAGGATACTGTATTTCCATCCCTGAAAATGAGCACTAAAGCACAAGGAGGAAACGACTCATCTCCGTGACGACCCCATCGATTCATATAGCCTTCCGGTTTGCGACGCTGGTCACATTCTAAAGGGCAATTTGCCTGCTTGTCTCAGCGTGAGAGGGCGGCTTATCTGTGCTAACACAGCGGAGAACCGCATACACACCTTATACCGGGCGGCCTTTTGCATTTTAATCAGCTCATCCTTTTCCTCAATGCTCATCAACTCTCGGCGACAATAGGTGGAAAAGCTCCGACTGTTATTTAAGGGGTTCGCTGAGGCAATTCTGCGTGCTGTCACAAAACAAACAGAGCGCCACTGAGAAGGAAGCTGTTTATGCGGATTGTCTGACTTTTCTGAATGTGTACTTTCTGACAGACGCAGCAGAACTGATTTAAAGAACTGCTTTTCATCAGACTGATGAAATCAAATGTCTTGGAGTTTGGCTTTTGGGAAGGAGGCCAATCTGTTGAAGTGGAAGTAATGAGTCAGAGCACAGTTGCCAGTAGTTATGACTGTGAAGATAAAGAAAGTAGCAGAATGCGTCAGTCAGTCTAAAAGCCGTCATACTGAACAGACTTGTTTGTTATTTTAGGGAAAATATATACTGCATAGGCGAGAGTGGGGTCACAACTTGCAACATGTTAGAGATGAATCATTTAGCAATTTTTTTTATTTACATTTAAATAAAAAACTCATTTAAAATATATATATTTTTTAATAATGTATAGACTGTGAGGATGCATTTCTACAGTTTTTTATATTTTCGTTTTTGTTTTTTAATTTACATGTACATTTATGACACTATACTTTGTGTTATATTACCTTGGCATTACATTTAAGAAAACTAGCTGCTGTGTGGGTGTTTCACAAATTTGACATCTTTCTCTCTACTGCCCACTGTAATCAGTCTCTTGAAAATGAAAATGAAAAAATTAGAACTGTTAAGCGAAAAAAAAAAAGAGGATGATTTTTTTTTCACTTTTGGAAAACTAATCCGAGATCATAGGAATGCAAAATAAATTAATAAAGTTGTTTCCATTGTCTGCTAAATAAGTTTACCCAACTATGACAACTTCCGCTTCTGAGAAGCCCGGAAAGGATCCTTTTGATGATTTTTTTTTATTAATAATATTTTATATATTTATAATAGTTTTAGTTTCCAGCATTCTAATAAAGAATAAATTATGATATACATTTAACTGAGATCATATTTCTGACTATTTTTATTACAATAGAAGTGCCAGGTGTACAATACTGGTCAAAAGTTTGGAAACATTACTATTTTAATGATTTTAAGAGAAGTCTTTTATGCTCATCAAGCCTGCATTTATTTGATAAAAAAAAAACACGTAATATTGCAATGTAAAATAATGGTTTGATGAGCAAAAGAGATTTTTTTTGAAAAACATTAAAAATAGTAATGTTTCCAAACTTTTGACCAGTACTGGACATATCAGCGCAGATGTTGGGCCTTCAAATAATGGTCTTGGTCAAAGAGTGGCCTTGAGTCAAAATGGTTAAGAACCACTAAACTAGACTTTTTCACCACACTGTATCGCTCATCTTTCCTTCAGCATTGCTACAAAGTGTAAAAATGCTGCCTGTGTGCGGATGATGGGTGTGTATTAGCACTTCCCCCACACAAACATTCACAGTGAGTTTTTTTGGAAGTGCGACTAGTTGGTTAGTTAGCGAGCCCAGGCTGATGAAGTGCGAGGTTCAGACGTGCAAAGACGAGTGAGGCACAGTCGTCTTTTTTTAGCGAGGGAGAGGAGGAAAAGAGAATGAACACTTTGATCACACAACACACAAAAGCACCACTGATCTCATCCTTACGAAGCCGCCTGCCAGGTTTATCACATGCGTGTGAGTGGGTTTGTGTGTGCGTGTCACACTGCAAAAGTGGAGCGTGGTCCTTAGAGAGAGGCAGAAACCTTTAATTAAACAAGTGGGTTCTCTTAGCAGATTTACACAAAGTAAAACCCACAAATGATGGCGAAGACTGTAGGCTGATATGACGCACGGGAGAGGTGAAAACAGGGACAGAGATAGTGAGAATGAATTAGAGCCGATAGCATTTGTGGGGACGGTCGGAAATGAAACTAGCCCCCTCTGAAGTGACACGGTCCGTTCACTCTTCAGCGTCTCAGTGTTTGTCAGCACCTCATGAATATGTATCATCTAAATAATAATGATAATAATCAAATGAGTATCAAAAATAGAAATGTATTAATTTCAGTTAAATCACCCTGGTGTATTACAAATTAAAACTTCCACTTTTATGTCATATACTGGCTTGACTTGATAAATCCAAAACAAGATTCTTGACACAGATGAACGATAAAATCACATTTAATGCACTCTAGGAATAATACAGAAACACCAGCATGAAACGTTTACAAATAAATAGAAAAACTTCTCGTGCTCGAGACCCTGCCTTCTTTTACATTCATCAGTGCTCTGGAGTTATTGCGTACTATAGTAACTGCAATAGCCTACTATAGTAACTATTATGCGTTTCATGTATTTAATAGCAAAACAGCGTTCTGTGTGATCATCCCCTTACACCTGTCAATCAGACATAATTTTTTTTAAAGAAAATGAAGCTAAAGTGTTTCTCTTAATCCAGGAGGATGAAGAAAACAGTTTAGCGTTTAAAGATTTTTTCTAATAAATTATATCACACAGTTTATCTGTATTTTGGTACTGATGTGTGAATGGTATCTTACTGGTAAAAAGACAGAACGCTGTTGCTTGTGTGAATGGCACGTTTGTGTACAGTATTTATGATACTTTTATGGTACTTTTTGTCATTTTGAAACTTGACAGCCCCAGCTCTCTCTCACTTTCATTATATGAAAAAGAGTGGCTAGGATTTAAGATCTTTTTGTGTTCCACAGAAGTTATACGAGTTTGGAACCACATGAGTAAATGATGACAGAAATTTCATTTTTGTGTAAATCATTTCTTCAACTTCAGTCCTGAGTGTTGGAATGTTTAATTAGAAATAGACAAAGTCTTTTGCAGAAAAAACAGGGCTTTCTTATTTTCAGTGTGGAAAAAAGCTGATTATGTCCCTCCAGCATAAGGACGGGTACGCTGAAGCATAGCAATTGAGAATGTTTTGTGAATGCAAAGCTTGCTTGAAATGGTCCGTGGTGAATTAGAGTGACTTGTTTGTACACCCACCCAGCTGTGTCCAAATATTCAAGTCCGGGGTACTGAGCTGTTCTTCAGCCCTGGTTAAGCCACTTCACTCTGGCATCTGTATCGACACGGGGCACGTCTGAGCCATGTGGAGGTGCTGGGAGGCCGTTCCTCATTTTAACCCAATTTTATCTCAATAATAGCGTGGATGTTTGGAGCTCACTCTTGAACTCCCACCTTAAACAGACTTTATAGTATGAACATAAGCTAGCCAATTACTCGAACACAACCAAAAGTGCATCATAAAATTAGCACTGCTTGATAACATGTGTAACGTTATTGGATGTACGAATAGGTATCAGCGTACTCTATACAACTTAAAGGGTTAGTTCACCCAAAAATAAAAATTCTGTCAGTAATTACTCACCCTCATGTTGTTCCAACCCCGTAAGACTTTCGTTTATCTTCGGAACACAAATTAAGGTATTTTTGATTAAATCCGAGAACTGGATCACTCCTCCATAGGCTTCTAATGGATTGAAACTTGCCGGCCCAGAAAAGTTATTAAAGACATCGTTAAAATAGTCCAAGTTTATCAAGCGACGAGAATACTTTTTGTGCGAAAAACAAAACAAAAATAACGACTTTATTCAACTGTTAATTTCCTTCTCTGTGGGCCTCGAGTTAGTTCACGTAGTGTAACAGCGCAGCGCTTCTGGGTTGTACATCACACGCATCACACACATGACCAGCGTCGGCCAATAGTGAGCCTACGTGTAATGTACAACACAGAAGCGCTGCGCAGTTACACTACGTGAACTCCCGTCAGAGGCCCACACAGCTCAAACTATCCCTTTAAGGATGATGAACTCTTTTGACCAGCAAGCAACCACATAGCAACACAGTATTATGGCATAAGATTTTATGTAGGCATTTTCTCTATCTCTTGTTTTTCAGCCCTGAAGGACCCGTGCAGTGAGGTGACCTGTAGCTTTGGCAGCACCTGCATCCAGTCATCAGACGGTCTGTCCGCCAAGTGCATGTGTCCTCTGAGTTGTGAGAACGTCCCCAAGCACGTGGTGTGCGGCAGCGATGGCCTGGACTACCAAAGTGAATGTGAGCTCAACATGAAAGCCTGCGCCACCCAGAAGAACATCCGTGTGCATCACCAAGGCCGCTGTGGTGAGTCTGTGGAGCCTTTAAATAGTCAGTAGCATTGCAGTTACCGTCTTTGTCACATGTTACCAATCTTACCATTCTAACATTGCAGCTTTCTTCAAAATGATCGCAAGTTGGTTTGGCTGCTTGTAGAATGCAAGGCAGTGTTGGTTTTAAAATACAAGGAACTCCCTTCCTAAAGTATAGTAAATTTATATATATATATATATATATATATACAACCATGTTAAATTCAGTAAGTGTTTGTTTGTTTGTTTTTGTTTATTTATATACAATATGTTTGTATGTATGGTACGTAACATTTTATTCCATATTCCCAAAAAAAGATTTGAAAAAGTTACAAAGCCCCTCATTTAAGAAACTTTAATATTATGGTATTAAATAAATTATTTGCCTTACATTACATTAATACATTAAGTTAAGTTAACAAGTCATTTCTTGTTATAGTAGTTGAAAGAAGTTCTGTGATTATGTAACACATTACTTCTATTGCATTACCCCAGTGTGATTTTCGATTTTGAATGCTTGTTATAGAGTATTGTGGATGAATTTTGAGTTAAAAATTCAGCAGATCAATTATTCCGCTGAAAGCTCCCGGCACGTCACACCTCGCCATGCAAGCTGTCTGGATTTTTGAGCTCTTCTTTGATTAAATCCTCACTGTTTCATGTTAGTGGAGAGTTTGAGTCATGGGGACAGAGTGCCGTTCATGAAAAGCCCTCTTCCCACCCTGGACTGCCTAATGACATTTCTCTTCCACACTGTCTGACTAGCTGTCAGATTCTTTTTTCAGCTTATTCCGCCCCTCTCTGACATTTCAGAGTTTTATTTTGATCTCTTTTATTCATCGGTACTCATGAGTTACAGAGGTTAAGTCCTGCTTTATGTCTCCCTATATGTGTTCTAGTGTTTATGGACCTCTGTACGCTGCACTCTCAGATCATTAGGCATCTTCAGTTTTCAGGGATCCGTTGTTTTCTTATTGCTTAACGAAGATCAAACACTCCCTCTTATTTAACCTTGCTGTTTTTTGGGGGGGGGGGGTTACCAGACATGGTGGTTTTATCTTGTGTAGAATGCAGCGTGGTTAGATGATCATCAGGCTCTTTTCTTTAGAGAGTTCAAAAGAAAAAATTCTTAATTTGTATTTTTGTCTTGTCAGTTAAAGAAATATCAATTTACTTATCAATTTTCCGAGAGTTTTTGTCTTAAATTAAGTATATTTACTTCGTTGGCATTGGAATTGTTTGCAATGCACAAATCTAAGAAATGTTAGAGAGGTTTATGAAGTGTTTTATGGATGTGTATGGAAATGGATGTGTATGGACATATATATGTATATATATATATATATATATAATATTATTATTATTATTTATTTATTTATTTATTTTTTCGGAAAGAAAGGCTTGAGTCTTGTCTGTGTGACATTGTGGTGTATCCTGCGGCAAAGCGAGTCAGACAGACTGAGAGGGAAGTCACCTCTTGTAAATGATGGCTCTCTGGGCGGCAGGGCTGGATGAATGCCTCGGGTCCCTGAGGAAGTGTGGAGTATGTTTCTCAGTGGAGAGTGTCTTTCAGTTTAATCCCCATGGGAGTACAAAGCACCAAGGAGGACAGAGAGCAACTCTAAATCTAACTTAGAGACACCATCCTTGCGGTTACTGACTCTCTGATTCTATCATGCAAAAACAGCCAACACATACAAATGTTATTTTTATCACTGAGGGACACCCCATTGACTTTGGTATTATTTTAAACATTTGACACATATATGTGAAAGTTATGTCATGGTTTACTTATTGTGTTAATTATTATAAGTAAACATCCTTAAAAGAGGATACATTTACTTACAATAATAATAATATATATTTTTTGTCTTGCTTTTTGTTTCAGGAAAACATGTAAACATTCTAAATATGAGATCATTTTGGCTTCTTGACTAGATTAATTTTGTCTAGTAAATGTATCTTGTTTTAAGGATATTTTTCTGGAAAACAAGTCAAAAATATGATTTAGATAAAAAAGAATTTCACAGAGAATAGAGGAACAAAAACAAACCCATAATCAATTGTACAGCAGGACATGGGCCACAGTTATTTCAAAGCACACTTAGAGGCATCATTTTTGGCCGGCTCTGTATACACATTCATCCCTGTAAACCGTGGTTACAACTACTGTTCCTCCAACACATGCATTAAGGTCTTGGCCAGCAACCGTCAGGCACACAGATACAGGGGCAGGACTAATGGAGCGGCCTCATACACACTCCCTGCTGAAGCGGGGCTCAGTTTGTCTGGCTAATTACAGACACCCCTGCATGGCACTGTTAGGCAGCGATATACTGAATGCTGGTTCCAGCCAGCCTCTCATAATGGGAGCTAATGGTTTATCCAGTTGAAATGGCTGGCTTGCGTGGCGAGATGTTGTTGGAGTTGCTGCCCGCATTGTGCTGGACCCTTTTGGTCGAGCTCCACACTACCCTCCTTTGAGAGCCGCCTTATTATTGTTAGTATACACCAGTCCCTGACCTGCATGGCATCAACACTTCCTTTCAGCACGCCTCTCTCCCTGAAATGTTATGTCCAATGCATGTGTCTTTGTTTTTAATTCAGAGCATAAGAAATATTGAGTTTGATTTGTGTGCATTTATGATGGGTTGTTACCAGACTTATCAATTTATAGTGTAATTAGTCGACTTTGTTCAGACAATCCACTGGCTACACTCTTAAAATAAAGGTTCCAAAAGGGCAGTGCCATAGAAGAATAATTTTTTTGTTCCCCAAGGAACCTTTCAATGGATGGTTCTTAAAAGAACCACTTATTTCCTTGTTGTCGATAACAAGTCTAAAGAACTTTTTTCCAATAAAGAACCTTGTGCAGTGGAATATTAAAGGCTCTTCATGGAACCATAGATGCTAATAAAGAACCTTTATTTTTTATTTTAAGAGTGTAGTTCATTATGTCGTTTCATATATCCCTTGTGTGAATGTGTCCATCTTTGTGTTATTTGCTCTCCTGATGTCTCTCTATCTCTGTGGCTTTGCCTTCATTTCCCGCTTATTTTCTTGTTCTCTTTATTTGTCTGTTTCTTCCTCTCTTCTAGATCTTTGTTTTGTTTGTTTTGTCTTTCGTGTCTAATTTCCTCTGTCCTTTCTGTCTCTGTCTCACTCGTCCTTTTTTCTCTCTGTCTCCGCGCTTCTTTCTCTCCCACGATTGTAGGACTCGCTCGCGGCTCGGCATTGTCTTAGAACAACACCGGCTGATAAGTCCTTTGTGTTGTCTTGTTTCTGAAAAGTGTGGAGGCTGGCGAAACTGTCACACTTATTTCAATAACCATCATGGCATTTCTATTACAATTATGATCTTGCCATGCAGGGCCAGGGCCTGGAGCCCCCTGCAGCCACAAAGACCCATCAACGCCCACACACTCATCACTCCCGTCCCATCAGCTGTCACTCTTATCTTTTCACATTTCACTATTTCTTCTCAATAAATGACATTCCACTGACAACAGCTCCATCAATGGTGCCTAGAAGATGCTTTGAAAAAGAACATTCTCGTCAAAAAAAAAAGAGCCATTGTCAGATCTGTGGCGTGTAGATATAGCGTGTGTACAGATATCAGAAAATCTGGTCCTAAAGGTGTGCTGTCATAATGAGTTTAAGTCCAATCAAATAAGTTACCGGTAAGTAAGATCTTCAGGAAAATTATATGCACACTGCCGTTCAAAAGTTTGGGGTTGTTAAGATTTTTGAAAGTCTGTTATGGTTACCTTATTTGATCAAATATACAGTAAAAAAAGTTAAATATTATTACAAATTAAAATTTGATTATTTGATTAAATTTTCTCTGATGGCAAAGCTGAATTTTCAGCAGACTTAACTACAGTCTTCCTTGTCACATGATCCTTCAGAAATTATTATCATCAATTTTGAAAATACTAATACTAATATTTTGTGAAAGTCATGACACATTTTTTCAGGATTCTTTGATGAATAGAAAGTTCAAAAGAAGAGCATTTATTTGAAATGGAAATCTTTTGTAACATTCTAAATGTTAAAAATTGAATAAGTTCATGTGCGCGATGAATGTTCGAGTTTGGCTCACGTCACACTTTTCTCCCCATTATTACCATTCATTTTTAGGGTTAGGAACGTGAACACGAACTGATTTTGCATGTAATTTTTTTGTGAATTATTTTCATGAAGTTTTGCAATGGTTCAATGAACAATATGGCAAAAGAAAAGTGTTTGTTTCCATCTGATTTGAATGTGATGACCAAGAAATACTAGAAAAAATGGACATCTTTATAATATGTATAGAAAGTACTTTACTAATGGTTAAGAAATTTGTCATCAAATGCAGTAAATATTCTTGACAGTTACGCAACTTTGCACACATTTAATAGAGAACAAAGTCTAGTCCCCCTTCCTTAATGCTTGATCATGCTTTATTTTTAGCATTGGTATGTTTGTTTAGCCAGCTAACAGATCTGATGATCTGCATTATATCAGAGTTATGAATTACCATCTCATGTTTGATAATCCTATTTTTTTTTCTTGGTCTAACTCAGTTTTTTTTTTTTTTTTACTTTCATCCTCAGATCCTTGCAGTGACACTCTGAATAGTGTGAGTGTGGCCTGTCGAGTGAACCCAAAAACCTACAAGCAATTTACCTTCTCCCCAGCTGAGTCCTGTCTGCCCGACACTACGCCCATCTGCGCCAGTGATGGCCGCACCTACGATAGCGAGTGTCAGATGGAGCGGACGGCCCTGCAGAGCAATCTGGAGCTCAAGAAGGTCTATTTAGGCAGCTGCAAGGAGAAAGGTGAGTTCCTCCCAGAACGGAGATGTCGTCGGCTCCCAGGAGCTCATGCTTGTGTCTGATAAAGGAGCCCCACGGCTGCATTTGATTTATTTTGTCATGGCTGCGGTGAGGAGGCTCTGGACAAATTAAGTCAGGTTAGCAGTACTGTCATGCCTACACGATACCAATCTCCACAAATCCAATTTGCCTGTCGGGCTCTGGCAGGTGTATTGTGGCAAGACTGTATCTTCACGGGTGATGAAAAGATCGTCCCTGCCTCGCTCTAAAGCCCTGTGGCAAGCGCAGAGAGAGTGTGTGTTCACCTGTGATAGTGCATGAACGGTGGTTTAGTGTGTATGTGTGTGTCCGTGTCTGAACTGTGTTTGCGCCGTGAGCGATAGTGGTGTTATTTGTGGGCCACTGTTGTCCCAGTACAGAGCAATTGTTTGTGTGCCAGTGTAACTCAAGAAGCGATAGCAGCAGTTGTGTCCGATAAATGTCTTACTTTGTAAGATATACACGACTAACATGTTAGCGTGTGTTTGGGATTGTTTCAGTACATGAATCACTCTTTCATAATGATTTATGTTAATTATGCTTTTGTTTGAAAAAGAAGCATTAACTCTGGGATCTGTTGAGGGTGATCGTGATCTTCAGCCTCGATATCAGTCATAAAGCCTTTTTAACTATACTATGCTATACTATGCTTGTAAGCTAAGCTGTTAGTTTGCTAAATGAAGGCTAAATAATAACAAAGAAAGAGAAATGTTTAATCTGGTCATATCTTTGCTAATAATTGATTAGTTAGCTAACAGATTAGCCTACTAGCTTAACACATTGCTAACTGCTTAAGAAAGGCTATTTTCGTTAGTTGATATGTGATAACATGCTACATTTTCGACCAGACATTTACAAACAACTTTTAAATGGCATAGGTTTCTGTTAGGGTATATTTTACAACACCAGCAGCATTCCTTTACAATCGACAGGGAATTCTCATTTAGGTCCAATCTTGTATGGAACACCCAGTTGGAGCTTATTAATCATTAATCAAAAGAGCCTTTTAGTGGCAGTTAGCAGTATGCTATGATTGTATGCTAAACTGTTAGTTTGCTGATTGAAGGCTAAAAGAAAGTACAACAGAACGCAAATGTTTAATTTGACCATTTTTAGCTTTGGTAATATTTGGTTAGCTAGCTAACAGCTTATCTTGCTAGCTTAGCACAATGCTTACTTACTAAGAAAGGCTTTTTTTGATTAACTAAATATTGTGATAACATGCTACATTACAAACAGCTACAGAGGGGGAGCTACAATCTCTCGTTTAGGTTTGTTCTTGTGTGGAACAAGTTTTCCCAATCCAATCAATGAAATCAAGTTTTGCCCTAGATTTTTCTCGTTATATATTCTGTTTACTCATATATACGTCACATTGTGAAAGTATCTGGGTTGTGAACGCTGTTTCATGTGGAGTAAAATCACATGAAAAAAAAAAAATCAAGTTCATGAGATTCCACCCCTATTCCTATAGCTTCCTATGAGCCCGCTCTCATCAGCATGTATGTCACATCCTTAAAGATAGGTTAGATAATGCAATCAAACATAAATCAAGCTCAGATTGTACAATAACATAATAGGTCTCTTAATTTACTCAAACAGATGAAAGGCTGCTGTAATTACACACTGCCATGGCTCGTCCGTGACAGCTTAACACAACTTTGAGTGGGGAAAAAAACACCTCAAATCAATCTGAATGGAATTAGATAATTGATTAAATAATCAGACACGGTAATTAATTCAAAACCCCCTGAGTAAGTCAATATCCGATGTCTGATTGAGCGAGGTAGAAAGAGAGATGCCTGCAGTCAGTGTTGATTAGCACCAAGACGGTTACCGCCGTTCTTCACATCGTTGACGCATGTATACGTGTGTATCTGGTCTCCAGGGAGCTGTCCCAACGATTGTAAGTTCAACGCCAAGTGTTTGCTGGAAAACGGAGAGTTTCGGTGTTCCTGCGACCCCATACAATGCGACGGCACGTACAAGCCCCTGTGCGGAAAGGACGGCAAGACGTACCACAATGACTGCGAGAGGAGGCTTGAAGAGTGCCGGACCAAGACAGACATTCCCATCAAACAGCAAGGGCCATGTGGTGAGTGAGGGGAATGGTTCCATACAGATGCTTTGCTGTGTGTTCTTTTAATTTTTTGTTAGCGAAGAACGCTATTGTTTAATTAGCATTGTATGTCTGCTTGTTATTGGTTATGTTCTGCTGGGAAACTCTTGTGGAAGGTGCTCATTCTCTTTCATTGCCATGACGTTCTCATTCTGCCATCAGCTCCGATGACACATGAAACACTGACTTCATGTTTCATTCATGTCCTCACTCCTCACCCCTCCAGTGCCAGTCGTCCACACCAGTCGTTCAATGTTCAAATGTCTTGTCATTTCCCCCCTTTGTCCTTTTATGTCCTTTTTTGGCTGTTTTTAAACCGTGTTTTTTCTGTTCCAGTGTTGTCTCTCTGTCTGTCTTTGTCTATGTGACGTCTGCTCAGGCCCGCCACCGGACACACCTCTCATTGTGAGCTGGGAAGAGTTCAACCTCTGACCTTTCTTGTTGGGATTCTGACCCGTGGGTCTCCTTCAGGGGGCCCTCAAAGGGCTGGTTTGATGTCTACTTTCTACCTGTATCTCTTCGTCTGTCTCTTCTTGTGTTTGTTTGCGTGATGGAGGATGGTTGGAGTGGCCCTCCCTGCAGCTCTAGTCCTCATTGCGCTATGTAAAGGGGAAGTGAGGTCATGGAGCTCTTCTCTTTCTTCTGAGTGCTGTGTTTGTCTGGATGAATCTTTTCCCAAAACGTCTGACCCCGTTTGTTGCCCCACTACCTGTTTGCATGGATGCATGCATGTAGCCCCATTGTGAGGAGCTATGTTAGTTCCCCTGCTACACCTAAGGACAGAAACAGAATCTACGCAAGTACGCAGATGCAAATGCTCTGTCAAAATGTGGAAGTGTGCAGTCCCTTACTTAAAGTACATCTTTGCATTACTGTGGCAGCAACAAACCATATGCTGCTATTCAAAAATGGAAACGATCTTTCCAAAATCTTAATAAGATCTAACCCAGCAAGCAATAGCCGTCATTTCACCGTCTGGGTTGACTATAGACCCGGTATAGTCCGGCTATGAGTAACCCACTTCTGGCCAAAATAACCTTGAATTGGTTACACGTCATTTTTTCCAAAATAACTTGCGAGATGTATGATATTCCATCATGTAAACAAAGTCAACAGTGATTACAAGGTGTTTGGTTTTATGCGTAGCCTGTGCGTCTATTCTTGGGCTTTGGTTGTCTTAGATGTCTATTAAATTTTCACTGACAGCCCAAATTTTGCCTTGTTTTAACTTTTTTTTTTTTAACACAAAATTACTTGCTGGGAAGTTACTCAGCAAGATTATCTTCATATTGTTGCTCCACCGTGAGTATAGAAAATGAATCTCACCATAGAAGAAGAAAATGTATGAAATCGAGCTTGCTTAGCTTGAAGCGTTTGCATACTTGTGTGGCACATCATAGTGCGTACTTCCCTGCTATACGGTATTCGATAAGCAGTATGGATGTCCGAATATGCAGGCAAAAAATCCATGCATGATAATTATTTCTCAGAGAATTAATAACCATTTTGCTAATTACGTGGTTTTTTTTTGTTTTTATTTTTTTATAATGTCTTCTTCTGACCTCTACCATATGTACTTTAGTCCATACTATGCAAGTACAGACAAAATACATTAAACACCTCAAAATGACTGCAGCAGTTATTACAGAAAGGATCTGGACATTGTGTTAATTATGGGAAGTGTATCCGGGGCTGTTTTGGCTGGAATCAGATTCTCAACGCATTTTAACGGTACAGAAATATCCCTCTCATTTATTCTGAATGCTATATGTGTCTTACTCCCTGGCAGCACATACTGTATGTTGCAACTATAGTGCTTGATGCATCTTTCCTTTTTCCGTCCTTCTCTCTTCTTTTTCCTTTTCTCACTATCAGCCTCTATGACTCATTAGGATTGTTTTCCAGTCTTCAGCGAAAAGATGCATAAATTAACATGTAAAGCGGAGTAGTGCTCATGTCTTTGGCTTTATTTCATTATTTCCGACAAAGTAAATGTTTTGGTCCTTTCAGGCTTTCACTGGTGGCAAGTTACAGTATGTTTTTTTTTAATACATTTATTTACATTTGCATATTCCGCAAACAGAACATTAATTAAACATCAAAAGCTTCGTGGCAGACCTGAGCCAGGCTGACTGCCTTTCATGCTGAGGAAGATACAGAGCATTGATGAGCAAAAGTCTTTGGACACCTGCTCTCAGTTTAATGTGTAAATGCAGAAAAAAGGTTGCATTGCTTCGTCGTCTTGTTTTGCTTTTGTCACCTTCTTTGTCTCCTCTCTTAGTTAAGTTTCCTCTCTTTTTGTTAATATCCATACAGACCAGGTTTTGCAGGTTAGCATGTTCCCGTAAGCTCTGGTGTATGTTGTCAAGATAGTTGCATAAATAGGAATGTTAACAGCTAGCTTCCTTTAGGTATTATATACCTCCTTCATATAGACAGGACCCAAGTGAAGTCTATGTTTACTAAAGTGCATGTTGGTCCTCTAGAAGACACTCAGGCGTGACAAAGCTCACCTTTCCCACAGTGGGAAACGTCTAATGGACCTCATTTCACACGCTAATCAATAGCAGAGACGCTCTGTTTGTACATGAGTCGTTTCAATCGCTGAGCATGTCAGTACTTTTTCCAGTGTCTGACATGGTTTCATCTGCTTCCCGTTGTCTTTGGAGACAAGCAGAGCTGGGTCACTGTGTCAGCAGCGCTCGTCAAGAGACACGATTCGCTCTAAAATCAAAGAAATGTGTATTGCTGAGAAAGGTCAACAAGAGACTGCAGCTCATAAGGAAAACAGAAAACACTGTGAAAGTAGAAAGATTTAGTACTAAGGACTGAAGATATACACAAGAACAGGCTGCTTCCTCATCTGAAAGTCTATCTGCATTCTGTTGATGGAGCATTAAAACATGGTGGTGTGTACAGAGTTCAGGTCCTATTAATGTCAGTGTGGGTTTTTCGGTCTGTTGTTTGGATGTGTGAGAGACAGCAGATGAGTCTAAGAACACCTGTGTCAAAATGATTTGAGGAGTGACAGAATGAAAAAGATCCAGATAGGGATGGATCATGGACGATTATATTGAAGGAGAACTCCGGCGCAAAATGAATCTTTGGTCTAATTACACATTGTTACGTAGTCAACCGTTCTCTGAGATTTGTTTTCATGATTATCGAATGTAAAGAGTTTTATCTCTAAAAACTGTTTAGCCTATAACGCTAGTATATAGGGCATAGAGTCATGGCAAATAAAAATCGCTAGTTAATACCACTAACAAGGCTCAAAATAGCCCCACGCTAACACGGTAGCGTAATGAGGGTCCCTACCTGCTAACCGAAGCATTGAGAACTTTGTCAAAAGTCCAGACAGTTTAATAAGAAGATACTTTATAAAGACAGTCCACTTCGCGTATACAGGCAGGAGCCATCTTTGAAAAACAGTCTCGACCAGTAGAACTACGAACGCCGATCCAAGTGAGCTGAACTGTGTCTTGGAATCTCATATGGTCCGTTGTTTCCGGAAGAAAGCACTGAGTGCATAAGAGAAGCACTGAACGCAACACAGAAAATAAATAAATAAAAATAATTTAAAAAAGAGAGACTTAGATCGGCATTTGGATCGGCGTTCGTAGTTTGACTTGTCGAGACTGTTTTTCAAAGATGGCTCCTGCCTGTATACGCGAAGTGGACTGTCTTTATAAAGTATCTTCTTATTAAACTGTCTGGACTCTGACAAAGTTCTCAATGCTTCGGTTTGCAGGTAGGGACCCTCATTACGCTGCCGTGTTAGTGTGGGGCTATTTTGAGCCTTGTTAGTGGTATTAACTAGCGATTTTTATTTGCCATGACTCTATGCCCTACATACTAGCGTTATAGGCTAAACAGTTTTTAGAGATAAAACTCTTTACATTCGATAATCATGAAAACAAATCTCAGAGAACGGTTGACTAGGTAACAATGTGTAATTAGACCAAAGGTTCATTTTGCGCCGGAGTTCTCCTTTAAGTATTCATAATATGTTTGCAGGGTTTGTGCTGCCAATGTAAAAAAAACAAAAACAAAAAAAACAACGGTGTGATGAATGTGCTTTTTATTTTGTCATTTATGGTGCGTTCACGTGCTATGGTAATTATGGTAAATACCCAAAACCGACATGGAAAATGCACATGAACACCCCCTCATGTGGTATTTTCCACTGGGCAACTCGTAGAATATTTTGATGCACGAGTTGCCAAGATGAGATTACCTTTGACCTTTTCAAAATGGCGGAGAGCAACGCAAGAGTTGTGAATGGTAAAAATATGTACTATTCATGATCTAGAAAATATACAGCATATATTATTTACGTTTGAGTTTTGATAAATCATTTTCTTGCTGTAGCAGATGACTTTGCAATCTAAAATAGTTTTAGCTAAATAACAGGTCTGGATCTCCATCTTTTTACCACATTACGACAACAAAAGCACTTGAACGCAACACACTGGTAAATACCAGTTCACAAGTGGAAAATATCATATTTTCCATAGCACGTGAACGCACCATAAGTTCATGTAGAGCATGTCATTAGATGACTAAAAGTCTCCATATGGCATTTTTCATGCAAAAAAAACTAAAAGAAAATATATTGTTGAATGGGGTACATGTCAATGAGAATGATTAAATATCATTATGCTTTGCATTAACTTTAGCTAGATTACTTTTAAAAATCTTAATTTAATTGTTGCATGAAACATTTTGAATTTGCCACATTTTGTTTAGTCAAATCAATGACTGGGGAAAAATCTGCACAAAAAGCAAGATTTTTATTTATTTATTTATTTTGCCCCGCTTTAGAGTCTTGTGTCTGAGCCAGGGTTCAGATAGATAGATAGATAAATAGTGTGTGTGTGCGTGTACAGGTTTATATTCTGTTGTAGGGACCAAATGTGTGTGTACAGTATATACTGTTTTTGTGTAGTTTAAATTAGGTCCTAGGCCTGTCTTCC